CCCGGACCTCTGAGTCCCACCCTCGGATCTTTGCACAGAGATTGGTCGCTGTTCATTTGGGCAACATTTATTGAGCAGCTAACCTGGGCCAGGTCTGCCCTGGGTGCTGAAGACACAGACATGAATGAGACCCAACCCCAGGCCCTGGGCAGTTTACAGTCTTGATGCAGTGGTTCCCACAAGGGGGTGATTTTTGACCCCTAGGGAATATTTGACAATGTCTGGAGATACCTGTGGTTGTTGTGACTCGAGGAAGGAGATGCTATTGGCATCCGTGGGTAGAGGCCAGTGATATTGCCAAACATCCTACAGTACATAGGAAAACACCCCCCACCCCACCCAGGGAAGAAGCATTCACCCCAAACTTCAAAAGTGCTGGGGTTGGGAAATTTTGGTCTAATGAAAGTATAAGAGACGTAAACACACCAGCAGCCCAGCAGGTCAGTACTTGGATGAAGGGGGGCGTGGAGCTGTGGGGTATGCAGACTAGCCTGGGGCTGGGGTGTGGGCAAAGGCCTCCCGGAGACAAGGCTCCCCTCCAGGGGGTTTGGAACGATGACCACATGGTGGACGTGTATGGAGAACCGCACATGGGGCCAAGGCCCACGCGCAGATACGTAGGTGCAACGAAGCCCGGTGGGAGGGAAGCGCGGAGGGCAAGGGTTGGTCATGGTGGCCTTGGGGGCTGTATTAAGGAGGGAGATGTCATCCAGAGAGCAGTGGGAAGGCATGGTGGGAGGGGCAAGGCAAGCAGGGCAGAAATGTGGGCAGATTTCTGCTTTAGAAAGCTGTGCGCTCATGGGGATACAGGGATTCCCAGGCACTGCTGGTGGAAGGGTAGGTGAGTGCAGCCATTCTGGACAGGAATCTGTCTCTTGTCAGTCATATTAAGTTTATGTATACCCATGACCCCAAAATTCCCCTCGTGGGCACACTTCTCAGGGAATCCTCCCACTGGTCCATAAAGAGTGGTGTGTGAGGAAGTCTGTCACAGCGCTATCTGTGGTGCCTGGGAGAGCAGGGGGTGAATGGGCGCCACGGAAGCAGTTAGAGGCAGTGCAGGCACATGTAACACCATGGATGGGACCTAAAACCTAGTGCTCAGTGCAAAAAGCATATTAAAAATGTATGGCCCTGGCTGGAGGCTCAGTTGGTTGGAGCATCCCATACACCAAAAAGGTTGCAGGTTTGATTTCCAGTCAGGGCACCTAGCTGGGTTGTGGGTTCCAACCCCAGTCAGGGTGTATATGGGAGGCAACTGATTGATGTTTCTCTGTATCTCCCTCTCTCTCTCTAAAATCAACAAACATATCCTCCCGTGAGGGTAAAAAAAATAATAAAATGTAAGTACTAAAAGTTGCATTTTGCAAGAACATGTACAAGCTGAAAATACCCATTAAAACACAGATTGGTGGGGGGCTGAGGAGGGTGCAGGGGCATTAGAGAATAATGAAAAAAAGGAGCGGTAGACAGCTCACTCTAAGTGGAATGAAAGGGTAGGTTGCAGGTGGGGGCAGTTGTGTGGACAACAGCACAGGCAGAGAGACCTGGCTGGAGGCTTCAGAGAAGAAGGGTGGGGGCGCTGGACTGCAGTGAGGGATGACGAGAATGATCAGACCCATGTAAGATTAAGGAAAGAGGATTTTCAGAACCTGGTGGTGGATGAAGGGGAGAAGGAGCAAGGTGCCCAGGATGGTGCCCAGGTTTCTGGGTGGACGACTGGGTCAGTGGTGTCCCCTCACTGAGTGATTCCTCCAACCAGGAGCGGGTCTGGGGAGGGATGAATTCAGGCTGGGAGTGATGAGCTCGAGGGACTTGTGTGCCACACTAGTGGAGACATCCCCCAGATGACTGGCTGCGCAAGGGTGGAGCTCAGCAGCGGGATCCGAGATGGTAACAGATTGGAGACTCATCTGCGTACAATGGTGAGGCGAGATTCCCTGGGTGAGTCCATGGAGTGGGAAGAGACACAAGTATGAGGGGCACCTACATTTAAGCTCCTGCTGGGAATAAGGAACCCAAGAATTTGACCACACAATCATCCTGCGATAAAGGGTAGGCCAAGGCCATCAGGATCCTGGGCTGAAGAGAGAGTAGAAAACGAGGATGGTCCTTTTGCATAACCTTTTCTGTTGCCAAGAATGATTGCAAGCATTACCTCCTTTGAGGCTCATGCTAGGCCTACAGACTTATGGGGAAGGTAGACCGGCTTTATTGTCTACATTTGACATGAGGACAGGGCTCAGATGGTGGGCCTTGTCCAAGGTCACACAAGGAAATCACACAAGGAAACAAAAGTGTGAGTCTCAAGGTCTCCCACCCATGCCTCAGCCCTTTCCACCCAGGGACACTGCTGCTTCCATTGGCAAGAGCCTAGGTCTGGGGGTGGCCTTGACAAACGATAGCTGCCATAATCTGAATCTGGGTGGCCTCAAAGCTCAACAGAGGCTAATAGGCTCAGTTTCTAGCCAACGCCCCCAAGCAGTCTTGAGTTGGAAGGGTCAAAGAGCACTGGGCAAGTCACCTTCCTTCTCTGAGCCTCCCCTGTCATCACCTGTAAAATGGGTTCTTCACAGGGTTTTATAGGAATCAAATTTCAAGGTGGAAGCAAAAGGAAGAAGTGGGCTCTGTACTCAAGAAGTGAGAAGATAAAGAAGGAGTAAGAATGGGAACTGTAGTTAGGGAGCAGTGTGGAGCAGGAAGTGTAGGAAAGGTTTGGGTGTGGAGGAAAGGGACCAGGTGTTCTGCCATGTGTGGGGTGAGTTACAAGGGAAAGACACAGTCCTGGCCCTGGGAGGCTCATTGCCCTCTGTGTGTCATCCTTAGCCCTGCGGCCTCACTCATCTTCGTACCAAACAATGACCAAGCCCAGCAGCTCCACTATTGGGCTTCAGATTTCTTCTCTCCCCAGGTCTCTCACCAACAGTCTCCTTGTCAATCTCTTAACCAAGCCTCCCTCCATCAATCTTTCACCTGGCAACCCAGGCCTTCCTGAGACAAATTCACCCATAGGTCTTTTCCATGGCTCACTCTCCTCTGCAGGATGAAGGCCATTGTGCGATCAGGCCCTCTGGTCCTCGCCCACCTTGCTGGCCTTACTCTTGCAGTACCCAGCATACTGGCTGTTACACACTTCCACGCCTCTCTGCATATGGGCTCCCACTGCCTGAAGTGCCCAACTGTCCCTCCAGCCTCCATCCATCTGCAGAGCCCTTCCTGGTCTCTGTGTCACCTCCTCTGTGAAATCTCCCTGAATCCTTCTGTTACTAGGAAGGAGGCCTGACCACGGGCAGGTCTGCCTAGGGTCAGGTGGCAGTGTTGTGGGTTCTTGACTTGTACAGAAAATATTTCACAAGCCTAGGTGACTGTGAGAGTATGTTTATTAAATAAAGCTGGGCACAGTGAAACAAGGAGATCTTAGGATTGAAGAATAGGAGAGAGCCTGGGTGGGGATGCTTTGGTTCTCTAGAAATATTGCAGGAAAGAAATGAGCACAGGTGAAGCTGCTGTCAGCTCACTGGAAAGTCAGAGAAAAGGAGGCCTTGGAAACAGGGTCAGGGGGTTAGCCCAGGACAAGCTGCTACTGCTCATTGCTCCCCTGGTTGCAAATCTCAAGGGAACCCTTGGGTTTTAGGAGATGCATGCATGCCTTTGGAGAAAGAAGAGGGGGAAGGGAAAGGTGCAGGTGTGCTCCCTGGAGGGATAGAGTTCTGGGTCCTCTGTTTTGAGGGTTTTTAAAGGCTGGGAGTTTAAGGGAGGTCTTAGGGGAGATCTCAATAGAATATTCATCAGCTTTTCCAGGTGTCTCCTTTCAGGGTTGTGGTCTCCACTGATTGGTCAGCACCAAGGCAGGGGAGTCATTAGTTATAGCAGCTGGCACTGCCCATCTGGTTTTGCTGCTTTTCTGGGCCTGGAGCTGAAATACAACTGAGGCCTAGATGTTATCTCTAGGGAGATGACTATCTGTATCTTGCTCTAAATTGCTTGGCCAATTTGTTCAGCTATGTCTGTTTCCCCTTTCTACTTGAGAAGGCATTTTCCCAGCTTCTTACTGTCCTGCCTCAGTGCAGGTAACACCCACTCCTCTGTACAGACCTGTAAGCAGTCCTGACTCCCCCTGGTCTGTGGTCTAGCTGCCTTTCCCTCTAGACCAGGCTGTGGGCCCCCTGAGGCTGTAGCACCCAATGCAGGGCTGGCAGCCATTTGCTGCCTAATCCAGTGTCTGCTGAAAGGCTCGCCTGGCCTGGAGGCCTTACTCCATCTCAGTTGTGGGGGGTGAGGGGTGTGTGGGGCGCGGTTAATCTCAGAAATAGACATCTCTGATTATATCACTTCTTTTCCCCAAGCTCTCCAAAAGGTCCCATTGCACTGAGGAGAATCCCAGTCCTCAGAATCAGGACCATTATCCCTCCCACGTCACCTCTTTCTTTCTCATTCTTCTCCAGCACCCCATCCCCCAAGCTCCCTCGCTGGGGCTCCGCCCCACTTGTTCCTTCCACGAGGAATGCTCTCCCCCACCCTTCCCCCCAACCCCGACAGCCCATCCCCTCTCCCCAACATACACACCCTAGCCACTCCAGGCCTTCTTTGCTGGAATGCCTGTCCACCGGTTTAAGTTTACTCCCATAGCTCTTGCTACCACCTGACAAACTGGCACACCTTCTTTGTTTATTGTCTCTCTCTCCTCACTACCTTATGAACTCCTAAAGGGCTGGGATTTCATCTGCTTTGCCCACCACTGTACAACAGTCCTGGAACCCAAGGAGGAGCTTAGGCAGTTTGTCTTAACCGGCTCAACAGAGGAACGAATGAAGTGAGAGTGGGGCGTGAGGGGAAGCTGGATTTAGCCACCACTTTAAAAACATGCGGGGGGCGGGGCCGAGGCCAAGGCTGAGGGGAGCGAGGCTGAGGGGAGCGGGGCTGAGGCGGAAGGGGAGGGCTGGGCGGGGTGGGCGGGGCAGGTGCTGGCGGAGGGCCGGTTGGAACCGGGTAGGCCACGCCCCAGTATCGAGGAACTCCAGGCGCGCGCGCCGACGCCGCGCGGAGGATTTAGGGAAGGGCGCCCGCGCCACCGGAAGCTGTCGCGCGGTTCTTGGCGCCGGGAGCTCGGGACTGTGGAGAGTTCGGGAGCTGCCATGGAGCCACTTGACCTACTTGAGCCGGATCCCCTCGCTGACCTCGCTGGGGACGCGTTCCTGGAAAAATTCCAGGGCCGGTGTTACAGTGGCCGTTTCCACGAGGACAACTGGGAAGAGGTAAGCGGGCGAGTGGAGTCCGCATGGGGGGTGGGGCGTCCTGCGGATTTCGGCGGCTCCCTCATCCCCGGATCCCAGAAGTTGCCACCAGTCACGTGGTTTCTACTCGAACGTTAACCGGCCTGGAGGGATTTAGAGTTTTCTTAATCTGTTAGTACCTTTAGGAGTACAGGTTTTGGAGTCAGACATGTGACTCCAGCACTCACTGGCTCAGGATGCAGGGTCGGTTACTTAACGCCCCCAAGCCGTTTCTTGAATCTGGAAAGTTGCCCTAACTATAGCACGAATCTCATGGGACTGTGGAAGACGAAGGGGCATTTAACGCTTAATGAACGATAATTACTACCGCTTTTTTAAGGATGTCATGACTGAAAGAATCTTTAGAGATTATTATTCTGCACTCTCATTTTACAGGTAGGAAACTGAGGCCTGGATAGGGAGCGATATAGCCAATCATGATGTTTTGCAAATTATGAGAAAACGCTGATGTAGAGACTTGGATCTACTCAGTGGCAAATCCCATTTGTATAGTACATTCTTGTCTTAATCTCTAGGAATTTGAAAAGATCCCGTTGTTCATGAAGAAAGCACCATCAGAAATTGATCCCATGAAGAATCCTGACTTGGCTTGTCTCCAGTCAATTATTTTCGATGACGAACGCTCTCCAGAAGGTATCTAACATGGCCCTAACGTTTGTTCGGTGTCTCCATTGAATTGAGGTAAAGAGTGAGTCGTTCTGGCCCTGGCCGGTGTGGCTGTGTTGGAGCGTTGTCCCGTAAGCGAAGGGTCTCTGGTTCCGTTCTCAGTCAGGGCACATGCCTAGGTTGCGTGTTCAGCCCAGTCCTGGTGTGTGCGAGAGGCAACCGATGGATGTTTTCTCCTACTAATATCTATCTCCCCCCCTTCTCTCTCTACCATCAGTAAGCATGTCCTGTGGTGAGGATTTAAAAAAACAAACAAACAGTGAGTCGTTCTGATTTATAACAAGTGGTAGTTAGCCTGAGATAACCTGCCTCAGTGTTTTGGATGCCCACTAAATGCTAGGCGTTAGGGATACAGGGATGAAGAAGGCTGCCCTCAAATGTCATGCTGCAGTGGGTAACGAGCCTGTCCTGAAGAATCAGGACAAGCCTGTGCAATAGGTGCTAACATGTAGCTGTCTACTGGTTGCTGCTGGAACACTGAGGCAGAAATTTGAACTGAATCTTAACAATTTTGTAGGCTCTTACTAGGGTGAGGATAGAATTTGCATTCCAGGGAATAAAATAACAAGCAAAAGCAGTATAATTCTGCCCCCCTCCCCCATTTCTTCAGTAATTAAAAAAAAAGTTTTTTAAAAGCTAGGGTAAGTATGCTTTTTTTCCTGCATGCTTCCTTCTTTATAAGCACTTAATAGTCTACCTTATAAAATACTTGGAATTGATGGTAGCATTAAGTAAACATGACTTTGTTTCTCCATTTTAATACGGAGGTTTATCGTGCTTTTTGGGTTTTGTTTCCCTATCAGTTTCTTTTTGGTTTATTATGTTTCATCGTGATTTAGAATCTTTTTAATGAGCCTATTAAAAAATAGGAAATAAACAACAAAAAAGAATAAAAATAGGAAATAATGTATTTCTTCTTTTCTTTGCAGAACAGGCCAAGATCTATAAAAATGAGGGCAATGATTACTTTAAAGAAAAAGACTATAAAAAGGCCGTGACTTCCTATACTGAAGGCTTAAAGAAGAAGTGCGCAGACCCTGATTTGAATGCTGTTCTTCATACCAACCGGGCAGCAGCGCAATACTACATGGGTAATTTATTCCATTATTGAATGTTTTTTAAAGAGTTTACTTATAATAAAGCCATTATGATGGCCAGTGGAGATTTTGAGAATGTCAGGAAGAGGAGCTGCATATCCGAGATACCTGGGATTATTTTCTCTTAATCGAACTCCGATCTTCCAGGTAGACTTAGTGAAAAGGGAAACCTGATAGATTGCATAATTTTTGCTGTCTGAACCAAATGAAGGACATCAAATACCTTAGTATATGAGTTGGTATGATGTGGGATTTTTTTTAGCCCAAATGCTTCTATTTTCTAAAAAAAAAAAGTCTCATTTTTCCCTCCCCCCTCCCCAGCCTTCTCAAGGATGCTCTTGTAGAAGGATTAAGGTAACAGAGAACTTTGTGTGAGAGAAACTGTATTATCTAAGGGGAGAGTTTCTCAGTTTTCTGTGGGACTCTTGAAATAAAAAGTGTTCTTTGGACAAGTAAGTTTGGAAAGTGCTGTGTTGTGGGGGATTTGCAGTGCATGTCGACATGCTAAGAACAGTACATCAAAGAACCTTACACTGTGAATCTGAGTTTTGTAAACCATCTCTTCAGGTAACACTTAGTCAGCATGCAGTTCTGTTCTGCAGTTGTGACTTTGGGAAACACTGATTATTTACTGGTGACTAGTCTTGGTTATTTTAAACCCATGTTTCTTATCAAGGAGCTGAGAGCGGACCTGGGAATGAGCCCAGGCTTTCTGAGGGGCTGGGAGAGAATGAGCCTTGCAGTTCTGGCTGGGACGAGTCTACTGGCTCTTACCACCATTTGAGAAGGGTTTCTCCTCAACCATCGTCTGCTCCACCTGTTTTCTCTTCAGCCTGTTCCATTACAAAATTCTGAAAAATAAGAGTGATATAGCCCTTTGGGGATTATTTAGGCCAGCCAGTGCCTTCATTTTGCATGAGCCCAGAGAGAGGAAGCCTCTAGAAACCCAGTCTTCTGATTTCTGGAGAGATACATTTTCTTCATTCAGTAGATAGTACTTTGTGCCAGGTACTGGCATCATGGAGATGAGTAAGACCTGACTTTTACTGTGCGCTAGGCACTGCAGTGTGAACAAGAGCTACACAGTTCCTTTCCTTGGGGAACTTAGGGATGCCATTTATAGGGCTAATAAGAACAATCACCTTGCAAGAAAAAAACCGTGTGTGTGTGGAGGACACCAGAGGAGCAGATGCGTAATAGTGAGAGCCATTCCTTAATTTATGTCACTGGTAGGGCTTACAAAGCACTTTCACATCTCTTATCCCTCTTGACCTAATAGCAGCTATGTAAGGTAGGATAAATTCTTAGAAGAGTATTGTTGGGTCACAATGTACTAATTTGCTTTCTAATTTACCATTGGAGTGCCCTTTTCCCATATCTGGATATTATCTATCTTTACCAATTTCATGTTAATTTTAATTCCTCTAATCATTCATGATGTTGAGCATCTTTTCATGTGCTTATTATCTAGCCACCTATAGTTCTGTGGATTGGTTGCCTGATAGAAATATTTCTAAGGTTTTTGATGAACACAATTATATATATTTTTCTAAAAACAGTTGTTCTGATTTATATTTATCCAAGATTGTGTAAGAATGTCTTTGTCTCTACACACAAAACTTTGGAAATACTCTGATCTTAAAACTTGTTTCTTGCTTTATGAAACGGTGTCTCATTAGGCAATTTTCGTTCGGCTCTCAATGATGCGATGGCTGCCAGAAAGCGAAAACCCTGGCACCTCAAAGCAATAGTAAGAGGTAAGTCCTGTAGAACTTCAGTATGATTTTAAGTAAGGAAAAGTTAACTCTACCAGAAGTTGAGACATTGTAAGCTTTTTAAAAAAAGTTTTTTTTAATATATTTTATTGATTAAGCTATTACATTTGTCCCATTTCCCCCCTTCCCTCCCCTCCACTCTGTACCCCCTCTCCCACCCACGTTCCCCCCCTTTAGTTCACGTCCATGTGTCATTCTTATGAGTTCTTTAGCTTCTACCTTTCCCGTACTATTCTTGCCCTCCCCCTATCTATTTTCAACCTACATTCTATGCTACTTATTCTCTATACCTTCCCCCCTCTCCCCTCCTCCCACCCCCCCCTGCTGCTAGCCCTCCATGTGCCCTCCATTTCTGTGGTTCTGTTCCTGTTCTAGTTGTTTACTTAGTTTCTTTTGGTTTTGCTTTAGGTGTGGTTGTTAATAATTGTGAGTTTGCTGTCCTTTTACTATACATGTCTTTTTCTTTATCTTCTTTTCTTAGATAAGTCCCTTTAGCATTTCATAAAATAAGGGCTTGGTGATGATGAACTCCTTTAACTTGACCTTATCTGAAAAGCACTTTATCTTCCCTTCCATTCTAAATGAGAGCTTTGCTGGATAGAGCAATCTGGGATGTAGGTCCTTGTCTTTCATGACTTGGAATATTTCTTTCCAGCCCCTTCTTGCCTGTAAGGTCTCTTTGGAGAAATCAGCTGACAGTCTGATGGGAACTCCTTTGTAGGTTACTGTCCCCTTATCTCTTGCTGCTTCTAGGATGCTCTCCTTCGTTTTCACCTTGGCTAATGTAATTATGATGTGCCTTGGTGTGTTTCTTCTTGGGTCCAACTTCTTTGGGGCTCTCTGAGCTTCTTGGATTTCTTGGAAGACTTCCCTTTGCCAGATTGGGGAAGTTCTATTTGTTCAAATTATTTGTTTATTATTTGTTCAAATAACTTTTCCACTTGTTGCTCCTCCCCTTCTGGTACCCCTATAATTCAAATGTTGGAACGTTTAAAGGTGTCCTGGATGCTCCCAAGGCTCTCCTCGATTTTTTGAATTCTTATTTCATCATGCTTTCCTGCTTGGTTGATTCTATCTTCCTTCTGGTCCACTGTATTGTTTTGAGACTCAGATACCTTCCTGTCTCTATTGGCTCTCCTCCGTGTATCTTCCTGCATCTCTTTTATGGTAACCTGCATCCTTTCATCTAAATTGCGCCCAAAATCAACCAGTTCCGTGAACTTTCTGATCACCAGCGTTTTGAACTGTGCATCTGATAGATTGGCTATTTCTTGGTCGCTCAAAAGGATGAGTCCTGGGGGACTGATCTCCTCTGTTGTACACATGTCTTATGTCTTTCCCCGTCTCTCCTATTTTTTTTTTTTTTTTGGTCTGGTCGCTCTCGTTACGGTGGGGGGTGGAGCCTTAGGTGTTCACCGGGGCTGGGCGCCCCAGTCGCTAGATTGTGACGTTATATGTGGGGGCAGGGGCGGGAGCGGGGACGGGAGGGAATCAATGGCGGCAGTTCAGTTTTCCTTGCCCCAGACCCTTCCCTGGGTTCCTGGGCTGCAAGCTCTGCCCTGGTCCACTATCACTGCCCCACTGGGTCCGGCAGCCGCAGCTTGTGTACTCAGGGATCACCGCTGCGTTCTTGTGCCCCGGATGGCTGTCGTGCTGATTCCGCGCCAAACTTTCCCCAACCTCTGCACGCTGCCGACCTGTGCCCGCCCCGCGCCCTCCCGGCTCGGCGTCTCCTACCAGTCTGGATGTACGGGTCTACTTCAACTTCTTGGCTGTCCAGCTTCCATTCAGATAAATCCTCTGTCAGTTCTGTGTGTTATGCTGACTGTAATTTATTGTTGTTCTAATCTTGGTTGTGCAAGGAGGTACAGTGCGTCCACCTATTCCTCCATCTTGCCGTAAGTCCTTAAAAAAAGTTTTAAAAAATCTTTTAAATTTATTTTTAGAGAGAGGGAAAGAGAGGGAGAAACATCAATGCATGGTTGCCTCTTGCACACCCCTTACTGGGGACCTGGCCTGCAACCCAGGCATGTGCCCTGACTGGGAATTGAACTGGTGACCCTTTGGTTCACAGGCTGTTACTTAATCCTCTCAGCCACAGACATTGTAAGCTTTGATATTAAAATGATGAGGTACTGATGAAGTCACTTTATTTTCGCAGCCTTAATGTTAAGTTCCTGGTCCTTATCAGTAACAACATACCATTTTTAAAAGCATTCCCCAGAGAATAATCTAGTCCTTTGTGTTTTAACAATTTGTAGAGAAATTGAAATGTCTCATTTTGAATTAATAAAGAATAAAATTAATTAAAGCAGTTCCAGAGCCACATTCCAATTTTTTTGATTGAGCCCTGGCCAGTGTGGCCCAGTTGGTTGGAACATCATTGTGTAAACAAGAAGGTCACTGGTTCTATTCCCAGTCAGGGCACATGACTAGGCTGCAGGTTCAGTACCCAGTCAGGGCATGTACCAGAGGCAACTGATTGATGTTTCTCTCTCACATCAGTGTTTATTTCTGTCCCTCCCTTTCCCTCTCTCTCTAAAATCAGTGAGCTTGTCCTTGGATGAGGATTAAAAAAGTTTTTTTTGTTGACTGAAAGATGAGATCTTCAAATGTTATGTTAATGTTAATTAAAAGGTAAGTTATGCAACATGTGCTGATAACTGTGATGCTGAGATGTTCCCAGATTATTTTTTCTCTTGTAGTCTGACCTTTCTTTATAATTATAGTACTTTTATACTTCACTTTGGGAAGTTTAAAGGTATACTGCAAACTTTAATTTATTCCTTAAATGTTAATTTTTCCTATATCCCCATGGAACAACTTAAAGTATTTTATCCAAGTTTATCTAAAGGAGATATTTATTGTTGGGGTGGTAAGTAGATCCATGTTCCTCCTAGGGAAAGAAGGTACTGAATAAAGATTGGCAAGTAAATTGAGTGTGGTCCTTTGGAATTGGCCTCAGGCCGGAAGTCTGTAATCCTCATTGAGTTGTCAGTTTTACCTTACTGCGTGACTTTGGCAAGACACCCATTCCTAGTATTGGTTTGTTTACTTTTGAAAGATGAAGTTGGATTCTGTTGACATCTAAGCACTTACACTTCTCATATTTTGAGGTTCTGTGGAAAGCCTAAAGAGTCTAACGAGAGAAAATTGAGCGTGATTAAGGGAGAGGCAGCTTAAACTTAAATCAAGGACAATTTTAGGAGAGACCTAATGTCTTTGGTCTTCCCACTGCTTGATTAATGGCTGAAACTAATTCTGCTTTCAGACTCCGTTTAGAGAAACCGCGGGAGGTGGGCTTTATTCTTTTCATTTGCAGATGAAGAACCTGAAGCTCACAGATGCTCAGTCCTTTGTCTAATGCCTAGTTGGTGAATGACAGAGCCAGATTTCCAGCCCAGATCTGTCTGATTCCAAGGCCTGTGCTTTTTGCCACTAAGCTGTAGCCTTCCTTACTTCAAGAGTCCTTAAGATAAGGGAGGCTCACAGGAGTTTTGAGCCGAGGACACTATAGATCTTACTGATCTAAGATACAAAAAATAGTCTTTCTAGTCTTGGGAATGCAATACAAGGGGTCTTATCTGTTTTCCCTACAGGGTGCTGGCTGGTAGTTAGTGGAGGTTGGGGGTTCCTCCTCAAGGGGGCTCTTCCCGTGAATGTTTCCATTGATCCTAAAAGGTTCTGGGTTCTGCAGGTGCCTTATGCCATCTGGAACTGAAAAACTACACTGAGGCTGTGAACTGGTGCGATGATGGGCTGCAGATAGATGCCAAAGAGAAGATGCTTCTGGAAGTGAGGGCTAAAGCAGACAAACTAAAGGTTGGTGGCAAAATCAGCAGCCATTTGGCATGTAATTAGCATTGGTATTAATTATCTTTTCTGAGCATTGTATCTTTTGGTCATTGTAAACTTTTTCTTCTTCAAAAATAAAACCCAAGAACCAACAGTTCAAACTAAGATGTCTAAATCCCTGGAGAGCTGTCCAGGCAGGTCATCACCAGTCATGATGTCTGGGCCAACAGACCCTAGCCAGGCAGGTCCCCCGAAAGATCCAGCACACAGAGAGCCACCAGCATTCCTGGAGGACACACCACAAGAAGTGTGGACCCAGGCTCTGTCTCTACTTGTCACAGAAACAGAAACGAGGGGAAGCAGCGCCAACACATGAGCTGACTGTACAAATGATGGAGTAGAAAGGAAGAGACACGTGAGCCACCTGGAAGCGAGTCAAGTGAAGAGACCAGTGATACATTAACTGACACAAAGGAAATTAGAGATCATCTACTGGAGAGAATGGATTCTGTCCTTGGGCAGTTGATAGCTTGGCCCAAGTTCATGGAGGCTAAGTTGAAATCACCAGACACAAAAGTAGATAATTTACAGACTGATGTGTCTTTCATGTATTCCAGACCAATGCAGAGTATTCCAACTAGGAAGTGGTATCCAAGTCCTCCAGGTGAAACCAGCCCTCTGCTGGCTATTACCATTTCCTTTTGCTTTGTTCTGTCATGCACAGAGCGAACCTCTAAACACATGGGATGATGGGTAATTGTTCAACAAACAACAAATGCCTAGTAAGATGCTGCCACATCTTTACCTCAGCTGGAAAGTGTCGTGCCATGAGAGTACATCACCACTACATGCCATGTACAGTACCACCATGGTGATCAATGAAAAATAAATAAACAAATAACACATTGGAAAAGGAAAACTAATCCAAAAGAGGAAAGGAGGCAGAGTTTTAAAACACCAAAGGAAGAAACCAGGAATTGCTGGAGGAGGAGGGAAAAGACACACTCTGTTGTCCAGAACTTTGAGTTCTATGTGATACCACTGGTTTTGTGGTTACTGTTGACATGGAACTACTTGATAATATCAGGGAAAGATAACAGGCAATCTGAGACAGTAGTGGAGGACATGCTAGAGGAGGAGGAAGAGGATGACAGAGATGACAAGGACAGTGGAAAAGGGGTTTATAAATAAAATCTGTGCCATCTAGGAGTATGTGTCAGTGTCCAGAACATCCTAGATCAAGTGGCTTCCTTTGGCGAAAGGATAAAGAATGCTTTTCAGCCCTGGCTGGTGTGGCTGAATGGATTGAATGCTGGCCTGCGACTGAAAGGTTGCTGGTTCGATTCCCAGTCAGGCACTCGGGGTTTTGAGCCAGGTCCCCAATTGTGGGGGTGTGAGAGCCAAATGATCAGTGTATCTCTCACACATTGGTGTTCTTCTCCCTCGCTTTCTCCCTCCCTTCCTCTCTCTCTAAAAGTAAATAAATCTTTAAAAAAAATACTTTCAATTGGATGGTCTCATTCTTAAGCTGGCTGGCTGTCATAGCCCTCTGTGTTCACAGTCATCCTGTACTTCATTCCACTGAGGTACATTGTCCTTGTCTGGGCATCAATAAATTTACAAAAAAGCTTCAGTGTCCCTATGCAGCGGATAACAAAGAACTACTTGACATCCTTTCCAGAGTCCCTTCAGATACACAAGTGGTGTAATACCAAGAATGAAACCAGATCTTATAGCCCATGTAAAAGGAAGAAAAACAATCTTGGCTAGCCAGCAGCTGTTAACTGAGAAGACCAACATCTGTTTGGGTCTTCTCAGGTAAAACAAAAAGGCTTCAAGCCTCAGCAGCATTTCCTTTCTGTTTTTTAATTTATTTTGCCTTTACAAAAAATTACTAGTTATTAGAGGGGAAGGGAAAGAGAAAAACAGGGAGAGAAACATAAGTGTGTGGTTGCTTCCCAAGCACCCCGCATTGGGGACCCTGCTGGGAATCAAACCGGCAACCCTTTGGTTTGCAGCCCATGCTCAGTTCACTGAGCTATACCAGCCAGGGCTTGCTTTGCCTTTTTTAAATATCATGATTGAGTATTATGATATAAATAGTATACAAGGGCACATGTTTTGGAAAAATTACTTCCATTATACAGAATCAATTTGATAAAGTTTTACTTACTACTGGGTGAAAGCCTTGTTGTGGATAATGAGTTGGCCGAAAATTTCATTTTTTTTTTTCTGTAAGATGACTCTAGTAGTGGTTGGTGGTTTTTAACTTCATTCGAACCAGTTTTATTAGATTGTATTGTGACAGCTGTCATATCAGCGTGCATTAAAAAAATAAAAATCGGTGAGTTTTTGTGTAGCAGTGTTAATATTGAAGATGGAAGAAAATACACAACATTTTCAGCATATGATGCTTTCTTATTTCAAGAGAGGTAAAAACACAAAAAGATTTGTGCAGTGTATGGAGAAGGTGCTGTGACTGATCGAACTTGTCAAAAGTGGTTTGCGAAGTTTCGTGCTGGAGATTTCTCGCTGGATGTTGCTCTGTAGTGGGGTAGATCAGTTGAAGTTGATAGTGATCAAATTAAGAACAATCATTGGTATACCACATGGGAGATAGCCAACATACTCAAAAATATCTGAAGTAATAAAGTCATTGGTGAAAATGAAAAATGTGTCTTATTTTACAGAAAAAACTAAATGGACTTTTTGACCAGCCCAATAATGTAACACATTGGAACAACAAATGTAAGAATGGTAACCCTGGGAGATATACACTTCTATAATTATAAGTGGGAGAACCATATTAGATTAAATACTTTGATTAAACCTACATAGTGTAGATTTTAAAACTTTGATTTTAAAGTTTTTTAAAAAGTGACTTTTTATCTCAAAAGTAATCCATTATAGTTTTCTATGTTTTATACATTTCAAAAGGGAGGGGATAGTCCCAAAATGTGATTAATGGAAGAGGTGAATTGCAATTTAACATAAATTCTGATTTCAGATCCTGACGTTTATTCCTGAGCAAAGTATTTATATATGAGTAGGCTGATTTTGAGCTGATAAGTGAAGGTATATTACCCCCTCAAAAAATCTTCTACACTCTGAAACTATACAAAGAAAACTTCCCTACCTTCTACCATTCCATTGAAAACCTTACAATCTCTATAGAATTATACATACATACTGTCAGGTTTATAAATGATTGCTTATCTGAATTTTCATACCTACCACTACTTTAATTTGTGCCAAGTTAGCAAATTAGCAAAACTTCAGTAGTCAAACATACTAGCATACTAAATCTATATTGCTTTTGGTGTCAGAGTGTACCTCTCTGTATCTAAAATTGTGTAATACTCAAGTGTTCTCAAAGGAAAAAACAAAAGTATCTGCCTTCTCATTAGGTTACTGAAATGATTTAATGCATACTATGATTTTTGTTATTAGTGTAAATTTTAATGTAGAGGAGAGTGATGTGCTCAGGGATATGCCAGTATTTCATTACATTCAATTTATAGAAAAAAATTATTATTCTTGATAATATGAATGCATGAAAACCTATTTTGTAAAATAAACTGTTTATGGGGAGGGGGCGTTTGCCTTTAAAAATGTTTCACCACCTACTATAGAATCCATATTTAAAAACTGCATTCCAAAGACTCTTATGGTAGTTCTTTTACCTAGCTTCCTGTTACATCAAGACAGTCTGTCTCTGGAAAGAGAAACAATTTGGCTAGAATGTCTTACTTCCCCTTGACTTGCTGGGGGATTAAGCCTGGGTGAAATTGCTACAGCAGTGTTTTCCACTACTTTATTTATAGTGGCCCGGGAATGGGTGAAAGTGGGGGTTATGCTGGAAAAATGTAGAAAAGCCAGAAGCAAGAAAGACATACTTCACTCTAAAGATTCTTTAAAAATTAATATTATTAAAGTTGATATTTAAAGTATTTCTATTTGAAAGCTATGTTAAATACTATTTCTTATGATAGAACTCTTTTGATCTGCTCACATGCTATGGCTGAAAGAACGTTAGGTAGAGCCTTTTCTACAGAAGGCTGTGAGTTACCTGTGCTGTTTAGTGCACCATGTTTGTAATGCGTGCTCGTATTCACATACTGTCCCTGTTCTTTGCAAGGACGTAGTACTCCATGAAGTTGATGTTACTACAGAAGGTTTATTGATAGGATAATTAAAATTTTTTTTAATTTAAAAATTTTTTAAAAAATTATTTTTTTGAGAGAGAAACATTGCCTTGTTGCTTTACCCATATAGCCATTCATTGGTTGTTCCTTGTATGCTCCCTGACTGGGGATTGAACCCACTACCCTTGTGTATCATGATGATGCTCTAACCAACTGAGCTAGCCAGCTAGGGCTGATAGGATAATTTGTTTGAAGTAACTTTTGATTACATTCTGTGTGAGATTTATGTTTCCTGCAGACAAGTCCACTCAAATGTCTGTTAGCTGAATGTTCTACAACCTCAGATACACCTAGTGGATAGTAACTATTAACAGATGACTAATTTCTGTTTGTTGCATTTTATGAAATTTCAGGTGTTTAGTGGTAATATTGACTATACATTCACTGCATTAAATATAAATAAATTAATTAAATTCCAAACCAGTCCCAGCCACTGGAATACTGGAGGACACAGACAAGTCAATAAACAAGGAAATCAATAGCTACAGTGTGGTAGAGGCAAGCAAGAATATAGAGTAGTAGTGGTATCTAACTTTGCCTTGGCCAAGAGCAGGGCAGAGATGGGGGTCTCTGGTCTCAGAGGTTTGCTGGAAGAGGTGTTGCCTGAGTCTAATCTCTTTAAAATTGAGCAAGAATTTATTCTGTTGGAGGTAGGGGTGGGGGAGACATTCCAAACAGGAGAAAGCAGAACTGATTAACTTTGAGTAAGTTCCAGGTATTTCTGAAACTCAGCCTCTCTCTGAAAATAGTAAACATACACCTCAAAGTTTATAGATTATGAAGAGAAAATGAAAATGTGTGTACATGTGTACACTCTTAGCA